CTTCAACCTCTATCATTCTGCCCATTTCTTTTATAGCATTTATCACAACCTATAATTATCTTGAAGCCCAGGTGGTACAGTGGTTAAGAGCTATGGCTGCTAACCAAAAAGGCAGTTCAAATCCACCAGTTGCTTCTTAGAAACCCTATGGGGCAGCTGTACTCTGCCCCATAGGGTTTCTACGCGTCGGAACTGACTCGACGGCAACGGGTTTTATTTGGTAATTATCTTGCTTATTTATTACTGTCTGTCTTTCCCACTAGAATTTGTACTTCACAGGGACAGGCATTATATCCCCAGTGCCTGGCACACAGCAGACACTCAAACATCTGTTAATTCAATTGTGCTCATGGACTCAATTTATTTAGTACCTTTAGCAATGATGGAGTCCTGGTGGCGCAGCGGTTAAGAGTTTGGCCACTTACCAAAAGGTCGACAGTTCGAATCCATCAGCCGCTCTTTGGAAATCCTATGACGCAGTTCTACTCTGTTCTACAGGGTCACTATGAAACAGAATCAACTGGACAGCAACGGGTTTGGTTTTTTTGGTTAGCAATGACAGTTTACTTCTGGCCATAACAAAACCTATTAAGATTTTTGCCCGCATTTTCTACTTGGTGAAGCTTAATAATTTTATTCTCTTCCAAATTAAGTATAGATGGAAGTTAAATATCTTCTTTAAAAGTCACCCAGAAGCTTTTGACAGATAGATATTCTTCCAGATGCATGAATCAGTCACCCTAACCTTACCAGTATTTGAAATTAAACACACACATATGGAAATTTTGAATTAACTGGCATGTGTCAGGTAATCTTTTGCTGAGAAAATTGTTCATTTCAAAGCTGTATTATAGTGTGATATTTTGTAGACATTTTAAGTAACAATTAGGGTTAGTGTAAATTCAATTAAAAATTTAACCCCAGGTAGTGCTACTAATGTCAACTGAAATGATAACAGAATGAAAGAAAACCCAGACCTAAATTCTCAAAATGTCAAGTACTGACGCATAACTGCTATTTCATAATTTACTTGCCTGATCACTGAAAAGTTTCTTCAGACAAGACACACCCTGATTTCAAAAATGTTAAAATTGAATAAACATATGTCTTAGAATTGAGGGAATAAGTAAGCTATTACTGAGCCTATCAAGTATAAGCTATGTACCAGAACTGTTTTATAGCTTACCTAATTTAATGAAATGCAGTAGAATCTAGTGATTTAGAGCAGTGCTCTCAACTTTTTCGATCAGGATCCCTTTACAAAATTTTAAAAGTATTTACTAATTCATTTAAAAATAATAAGTCAAAAAGGGATTCAAACAGACATTTGTACACAAATGTTCAAAGCAACACTGTTCACATTAGTCAAAACATATAAACAACCCAAGTGTCTATCAGCAGATGAACAGATAACCAAAATATGGTACATCTACACAATGGAATATTATTCAGCCATAAAAAGAAATGAAGTTCTGATACATGTTACAACATGAACTCTTAAAACATTATGTTAATTGAATAAGACAGACACAAAAGTCAAATATTAACAGATTCCAATTATGTAAAAGATTTAGAATAAGTAAGTTCATAGGGACAGAAAGTTGATTAGAGGTTATGACGGGCTGGGGGGAAAGGAGATGGGAAGTTACTGCTTAACGGGTACAGAGTTTCTATTTGAGGTGATTAAAGCCTATTATATTAAAAATTCGAGGTACATACAATGGTTTATAATAGCAAATGGGCATTTGCGCAAATGTGCATCAAAACATTATTATTATTATCACTGTATTATTATGTTAAAGATGTTTTAGTGTATTTGGAGGTGTTTCCCTAATGTTTTTAATGCATTGAAAAGTACAGTATATGCTATATACTAAGACAAACATTTGACTAACTGATATTAGATATGAACCGTTATCTAACCATTCTAACTTATATACAATTTCAACTTAAAGACAGACTCAGGAACAGAACTCGTTCGTAATCTGGGGACTACCTATACACTCAAAAATGATCAAAATGGCAAGTTTTATATGTATTTTCCCACAATAAAATAAAAATAAGCCAATTACATGTTAACATAATTAACTTTTTTTTAATAAAAAGTCTATTTTTTCCAAAGCAACAAAAAAAATTAGTGGGAGTCGCATTGTTTTACATGATTTTGTAACTGCTTCTACATTCAATCTACTGCTGAAAAAGTTCACTGTATATTTATGAAAAAATGAGACTGAAGAAGACAAATATTTTCTTAGTACTAGATGAGAAAATTAAAGGATAAAGAAGTTGAGTAATCTAAGAAAGGTAACATAGCTTAAATGGCAGAGCCTGGATTTGAATTTAACTCTTACTCTAAAACCTATGGTTGAAAAAGGCACTAACTATGTGACTTGAACCCTATCTTATGGCTCATACTACTCTCTCCACTGCTTTCTACGTCTGGCCACACTCTTTTCAGTTTCATCATGCACACCTTCACCCAGCCTGGGATGCTGTCTTACTCTTGCTATTTGAATAGCTGGCTCCTTCCCATCCAGTCTCAGCAAGCCTTCCCTGATCACTTTATCTAAACAGCAGCCCTTTCCCTTCTTCCCCAGTATTTTCCATCCCAATACATGGTTTCTTTCCTAGAGCTTCTTTGGGTTTCATAACTTATTTATGAGACCTCATTACTTATTGTCTATCTCCATTAGACTGCAAATTTCATGACAGTAGGGTCTATTTCTGTTTTGCTCACCATTATGTACTCAAAGCTAACAAGCCTACTATGGTATCTGGACATATGGCAGCTACTTAATGCATATTTGTTGAATCAATGAACCACACTGCTTATATGGCCTTGGACAAATCACTTAAACCCTTTGGGCTTCAGTTTCCTCTATACAATGATAAGTTACTTTCTAACTCTAAAACCCTATAAATATATTTTAGTACCTTCATTTGAAAGATACAATAGTACTGGTTATAGAAAAATTTTATAGAACATATATATCCTAACTAGGCTCAGTATTTTTTAGTACATAAAGGTAGCTAGAGAATGCAGTTATTAATATACTATAAGCTTCCTTTTTATTTAACCATCTGGTTACAGAAATCAGCACAAAACTCTGAGGAACATTTCTTCTATTATACATTTCACTCGCCTCATCACCTATTATATAAAAACTATATTTAAAAGCAAGAGCTCAAGTTGATAACCTGGTATGCAGCTCAATTGAGGCCCATACTGCCTCACTTCCAGAGTATATAACAAAGTAAAGAGGATATCACAGAAAATGATTATTTTTTTGTGACCATAGTAATGGTAACCTTTACCAGCAAGCCCTCCCTGACTACAACATAATGAACAGAATGATAAACTGCTGGAACGTGACCTGAAGAAGGTCAATAACTGCTTGCCAGGAAGCAATTCAGAGTACTCATTCAAACACAATAAGCTCTCCATTACCACATGTTTAGAACTTGTGTCTTAGCTGACAGCACACATCTTGTTTAGGAATTCTCCATTTACAGAGAATCAGAATATAAGCAGTAGTAAAGCTTAGTGGTTAAAGAGTATGGGCTCTAGTACAAGACTGCCTGAATCTGAATTCCAGTTTCATGACCACATCCTTGGGAAAGTTACTTAACCAATCTGGCCTCAAATTTCTCACTTACAAGATAGGGATAATTTATATTATCCTATGTCAAAAGTTTATTTTAAAAGATTAAATAAGTTAACACACATAAGGCTTTAGAACATTGACTGGCACAATATAAGTCCTCAACCTAGTGGTTAAAGAAAAAAAAAAAAACAAACCTGATGCCGTTGAGTCGATTCTGATTCATACAGGACAGAATCAAACTGCTCCATAAAGTTTCCAAGGAGCGGCTGGTGGATTCGAACTGCTGACCCTTTGGTTAGCAGCTGAGCTCTTAACTACACCACCAGGGCTCCCAATAGAGGCCAGTTAGCTATTGTTATTATTATAGAAATAATATCAATGCTACTATTTAATTTTTTGAACAATTTAGGAGGCATTTTTACTGTGGAGATAAAGTATAGCAATTATTCATCCATTCATCAACTAATATTTACTGAAAATCAATTACTTGTTAGGTACTGAGTTGGATGCTGAGCAGACAGCAGTGAGCAAGACTAATTAAAATTCCTGCTGTCAAGGATTTCAGGTGGATCAAAATATATATTGACAAAGCTATACAATTATCAGGGCAACATATGAGTAGCCAATAATGATCTTGCTACTGCAAATTTTCCAACGAGGTGAACAACTATGAAGGTATTTCAAAGCATGAAGGTATTTCAAAGTGTAATTATGAGAGTTTAAGCCCTTAAGATATGGTATGATTGTAAATACCAAATACACTAAAATAAAATTTAAATATTCAATTTCTTTAGTTGCACTACTCACATTTCAAGTGCTCAAAAGTTACATGTGCTGCTGTTGTTGTCAGGTGCCATCGAGTCAATTCCAACTCATACCCACCCCATGTGACAAAGCAGAACTGCCCCACAGGGTTTTCTAGGCTGTAGTCTTTACAGGAGCAGATTGCCAGGTCTTTCTCCTGCAGAGCCACTGGATGAGTTTGAAATCATCAACCTTTCAGTTAGCAGCCAAGTGCTTAACTGCTGCACCACCACGGCCAATGTGTCCCATATTGGACAGCAGAGACATAGAACATTTCCATCATTAGAGAAGATATATGGACTGCACTGATCTAGACGTAGCTAGACAATGCACTCATGATGAGTAAATTCAGTAATTCAATTTAAAGCTTAGGCAATAAAAAGATTTTTATAAAACACAACTATTAAAAGGGAAATACTTTCAAAAGTAAAATTCAAAGGCAATAATTAAGATGGGAGTATTTCAAGTTTCCTAGGTAAAAATGCTCAATAAATAGAAGTGACCTACTAAAGAGTAGCAGAAACTAACATGTCTAACTATATAAGGAGATTCATTATTTATTCTTTAAAAAGTTGAGGTCTATGACTTTACCTCTGTTTTAAGATCAGTTTTCTAAAGGAGGAGGTGGCACAGGAATGCGGCAGGTTTCAAGTGTGGAATTCATTGGTTGAGACGTAAATATTTTCCAAGTCTATAAAAAATAAAAACGAAAAACTGTGAAATACTAAGATATAATATTCTAAAAATGTAATACAAAGGAGCAAGAACAGTTTTGAGAAGACATTTAGTTTACCTAATTAAAAAATAATTTTAAAAATTATTATCCAAAATATTTCTATAATAAATAGCATACTTGTGTACCTTTATCAGACTGAATAAGAAGAACATTAGATTTCAAGATAGGAAGTCTGAGTTTTACTCTCAAATTTGCCACTAATTATTTGTAACACTTTGAGTGGGTTACTTAAATTATCTGGAGCCTCACTTGAATAGTCCATAAAATTAAGTCCTTTCCAGTCATAAAATTCTATAAATTCTATAAATCTAAACTTTGAAGCATGTTATAGTGAATCATTAAAAAACACCCTCATTAAAATTTTAGTAAACAAAACAAAAATCAAACTCATTGCCATTGAGTCGATTTCAGCTTATAGAGACCGTATATGCAATATAAAACAAGCTTACCAAAGTATCACAGTCTACAAAATCATTTTGGATGAGTTTCACAGAACCGAAAATTTTATCTTTTTTTAAAAAAGAACACAGAAAAACGCTATTACTTTAATTTTTGGCACCAAAACAGATTAAAAAATTTTGGTCATAGAGAATCATTTTTAAGTTGTTAAAAGTGTAAATACTTTCTTAGGAAGTAATAACTATTTTCATGTATTTGCTGACTGTATTATACTTTTTTGATTCAAAACTGCATCACAATCTCAAAATCTGAAATACTAAAAGAAAATTAACATTAAAATCAAAATATGTTCATTAACAAAGTATACTTTTTCTCTTTGAATGCAAAGAACACTACAATAAAATTCCTTTGAAGTTAAATTACATAATCATTGTAAAGTCTCTGTTTTTCAAACGGGATGTGTCAAGACCCCCCTACTCCAACCACAGCAGCTGACTTTTTTTATCTTATAATTTCGGCTTTCACATCAGATTTTTATTTCATTAGAAGGTTCTGCAGTGGGGTAAAAACTTGAAAAGGACTACACAGACTGTTTCTGGAAAGACAGACAAGAAAATGGCAACACTCTGAGACGGGCACTTGATGTCACAGGAATACAGTGGGAATGAGACTCTGTCCTTTGGACCTTGGGCATTTTAAACCACCAAGACAATTGTCAATTTTTGAAGCAGAGAGTCTGAAAAACTAGTACACTAGGAACCTGTGTAGAAATGGGTTTCTCACAATCTTTCAGGGCTGACTGAGGATATTTAATAGGCTCTTAAAAAGAAAAAAAAAATTAGGCAAATGAGAGGAAGAGTGAGTTTTATGAAACTTTTAACACATCTCTAAAACAGCTCAATCCCTGATTAGTGGGAGGTGACCTACCCCTAACCCCATTTACACAACAGAGAAAAATGGGAACTCTGCCTGGAAGATAATATTGTCTGGACACTCTACGGTTCTTTCATATACAAAGCCTCGCGCACAATAAAAAAACTGCTAAATACATGACAAGAAAATAGACCGATAATTAAGAGAAAACTTAATTCTAGATAGCAGAATCAGACCCATACATGATCCAATATTGGAGTTAGCAGACAAGAATCTTTAAATAATTCTGACTAACATATTAAAGAAAAGAGACAGAAAAATGGACAAAATTGATGAATGATGGAGAACTTTATAATGAATCAAGATCTATAAAAATAATGAAATAGACATTCTGGAACTGAACAATATATGAAATTAAGAGCTCAACATATTGGTTTTATAGTAACTGGACACATCAGAATATGGAGTTAGAGAACTGAAAGGTAGGTCAATAAAAAATACCCAAAACGAAATATAGAGAAAAAGAAGAGAGGAAGACAGTACGGTGTAATGGCTTTTATATGGCTTTTCACACCATGATCTTGTAACTCCCTCCAAATGATTGGGTGGGACTATGCAAATAAGGTGCTTGTGCCCTACCAAGGGGATGAGACAGCTTGCTAATAATGCAAATACGGTGCATGGCACCCTTGTTGGGGGTGGGACCACGTAAATAAGGTGTATGGAACCCTAACAAGGGGATTGGTCACTTTTGCCATCTGGCTAGGCTTAAAATGAGCCATCCCAGAGGTGGAAAGGGGGGACTTGACTCCCACCAAGAAGAAGAGATGGGAGCAGAATGCATCCTTTGGACCTGGGGTCCCTATGCTGAGAACCTCCTAGACCCAGGAGACAGAGGAGTTGTAACATGGAAGACAGAAAGAGACAGTGGCACAGCAGTAGCAAAAGTGACAGTGGCGTGAGATGGCAGGAACCAGGAGACCGGTGGGAGATGGCTGTAGTGGGGCTTGATGACCCACGGAGCTAGGAGCTTTGTAACACCTGTCCGAGCAGGGCAGAGTCCGGGCCGAGGGGCCAAGAGGCCAAGGGCCAGAGAGAGGCTTGCTTGAGGGCATGGCCGAGAAAAGGCTGTCCTGATTGAAGAACTGTATCCCGAGTCCTTCCTCATCTTGAACTGTAACCTGTTATTTCCCTAATAAAGCCCATATCTATGAGTATGGTCTGTGAATTCTGTGTGGGTATTGCAAAGAATTATCGCACCCAGCAGAGAAGTAGAGAGTGCTGTGGGAGGGATGGCTAGTGTCAGAACTGGTAAAAAGGTTGGATGGTGGAAGTATGTCTGACCTCTACCTCATGGCAATCAGCCTTGGGCTGTTGATGCTGATGGAGATTCTCTTTCCCCCTTGTGAAGTCAGAGGTCAGATGCCCCTACCCTGCCGTTTGTACACAGGGACAAAGGGAGAGGGGACAGAAGGAAGGTAGAGAGGCTTAAGAGAAACAAGGGACATGATGGAGTCCCAGACAAGAGGAGAAAGCAATAAAAGCAATATTCAAAGACAGAAAAACTGAAGAGTTTTTCAAAACTGATGAAAAAAGTCAACCTACAGATTCAAGAATCCCTGCCATCTCCAACCACAATATGGTAAAAGAACAACAATAACAAAAAAAAAAAAACTATAGCTAGAATGCCATAATCAAACTACTAAAATAAAGGACGAGGGAAGGGGGAGAGACAGGGAGAGGAAAAGAAAAAGAAAAATTTAAAAAGTAGCCATAGCAAAAAAAATTTTGATTTTCAAAGGAACGATAAGACAGCAGATTTCTCAACAGAAGCAACTAGAAGCCAGAATATAGAAGAATGACATTGTTAATGGGCCAAAAGACAATAAATAGTAATCTAGAATACTCAGCAAAAAAATCCTTCAAAAATTAAGGTGAAATAAAGATGTTTGCAAACAAGCAAAATACCAAGAAATTTGTCACCAGCAAGCCTATACTAAAAGATAATTAGAGAGAGTTATTCAGGCAGAATAAAACTGCCTAGACCAGAAACATGGAAATACAGGAAGAAATAAATAATATCAGAAAACATAAACATATCAGCAAATAAAAATTAATAGTGACTGTTAACAATGGCTGAAATGTTTCATAAGGTTTAAGGCATCTAAGATTCCAGTAGTTCCAGGATAGTGGTAAAAGTAATAATTTTTATTATATAATATTAAAGATAAATGTTGTAATCTTTACAATAACTATTAAAACAACACTAAAAAAATGTGTGTGTATGTATAAAACAAGCTAACAGAAAAAATGGAATATTTAACTAATTTTAAAAGATGCAAGAAAGAAGAAAAAACAGATGGGCCAAATAGAAAACAAATAATAAGATTATATAGTTAATCTAACTGTATCAGTAATTACATGAATTGTACATACAGCACATTACAGTTTAAGTATAAAACTAAGTTTGCCAGAGCGTATTAATCAAACAAACTCCGTAAAAGAGGCACACTTTAAATGTAAGTACGCAGAAAGATTGAACGGAGGGGATGGAAAATATATACCATGCAACATTAATCAAAAGAAAACTGATGTACTTTGCTGATATCAGAAAGAGTAGAATTTAACGCAAGAAACATTATTATAGATAAAAAGGAATATTACATAATGATAAAAGGATCAATCAAAAGGAACATATCACAATCATAAATTTGTATGTACCCAACAGCACAACTTTAAAAAACCATAAAGCAAAAATTTACAAAATTAGAAAAGAAACAGACAAATCCATAATTATATTGGGAGATCTATTACATCTTTCTCAGTAATTAATAGAAAAAGCAACAAAATGTCAGTAAGATCTGAACAATGCAGTTAACAAATGTGGTCTAAATGACTGATATAGAACACTGCACCCAACAACAAAATTCACACTGTTTTCAAGAGTGCATGTTAGACTTATCAAAACTGACCAGAGACTGGGCCATCAATAAAGCCTCAACACATTTCAGAAAGGATGACACCATTCAGAGTAAGTACTCTGGCTGCAATCAAAGCCAGAAATCATTAACTACAACCATAAATAAAAATCTACAAAAACAGTAACTGTAAATTTAAAATTACATTCCTAAATAATCTATTGGTCAAAGAAATCAAAACAGAAATTGGAAAATACGTTGAACTGAATGCTAATGAAGATACAACATATCGGAACTTACGGGATGCAGATAAAGTAGTATTTAAAGAAAACTGAGCCTTAACTGCATATGCTGGCAGTTCTCACTTTCCACGTGCAAAGCAAAGACAGTTCAATATGCACAAGTTTACCCTGCAAAGCTAAGACTGCCTGTATTAGAAGAATACTAATAGAAGAGAGGTTGAAAAAACTCAATGATTCAAGCTTCCACCTCTAGAAGTTAGAAAATATTGCAGATCAATAAAGTAGAAAAAAAGCATACAATAGAGAAAAACCAGCAAAGCCAAAAGTCAGTTTTTTGAAAAGATTAATAAAATTGATAACCCCCTAGAAAGACTAATATAAAAGAGAAAAAACAAATTACTACAAAATTTATAGGCATCAATCAGAGGATATTATAATCAAAAAACGCATTGCACTGGGCAAATCTGCTGCAAAAGACCTCTTTAAAGTGTTGAAATGCAAAGATGTCACCTTGAAGACTAAAGTGTGCCTGACTCAAGCCATGGTATTTTCAATCGCATCATATGCATGTGAAAGCAGGACGATGAATAAGGAAGACTGAAGAACTGATGCCTTTGAATTGTGGAATTGGCAAAGAATATCGAATATACCACGAACTGCCAAAGGAATGAACAATCTGTCTTGGAAGAAGTACAACCAGTATGCTCCTTAGAAGCAAGGATGGCGAGACTACGTTTTACATACTTTGGACATGTTGTCAGGAGGGATCAGTCCTTGGAGACGGACATCATGCTTGGTAAAGTAAAGGGTCAGCGAAAAGGAGGAAGACCCTCAACGAGATGGACTGACACAGTGGCTACAACAACAGGCTCAAGCATAAGAACGATTGTGAGCATGGTGAAGGACAAGGCAGCGTTTCGTTTTGTGGTACATAGGCTATGAGTCAAAGCTGACTCGACGGCACCTAACAACAACAACATGCTGATAAATGTGACACAAACACATTTCTTGAAAAATACAAATTACCAATGCTGGAAGAAGATACAGAATACACAGATAGCCCCAGAGCTATTAAAGATATTGAATCTGTTATTAAAAATCATTCTATAAAGAAAATCTCAAGTGTAAGTTGTTTCACCAGTAAATTCTTCCAAACAATTAAGGAATAAACAATACCAAGCTCGTACAAAATCTTTCACAGAATAGAAAATAACAGAAGGCTTCGGAGATCTCTTTAAGAACCCATGTAACCTTGATGGCAAAAACTGACAAGGGCATTACAATGAAGAAAAAAATCATTCTCTCACGAACATAGATGCAAAAAAAAAAAAAAAAATCAACATGTTAGCTAATCAAATCAAATCAAGCAACATATGTAAAAAGAAACATATAGTATTTAAATTATTCCACATATATAACAGTAGTTTAACTAAGAGAAAAATCATAAGATCATCCAAATAGGTACAGAAAAAGCATGTGACAAAATTCAATACTTATTCATGACAAAACTTATCAGAAAACTCACAAAGAAAATCTATAAAAAACCTACAGCAAGCATCATACTTAACGGTAAAATATTAAAACTTACCTAGCTCTGAAGTTGAAAACAAGACAGAGGTGATCGTTATCAGCACTTCTATTCAACATTGTACTGGAGGGTCTAGCTAGTATAATAAAGCAAGAAAAAGGAATAAGGAGAATAAGGGCTGGAAAGGAAGAAATGTCATTATATACAGATGATTATTCACAGATGACATGATTACGTCCCAAGAAAACTCAAGAGATTTGACAGACTAATTATTAGAATTAATAAGCGAATTTACCAAGGTTGCTGGATATAAGATTAATATACAAAAATCCACTGTATTTCTATAAACCAGCCACAAATTTTAAAAATACAATGTACAACAGTGTTTAAAAAAAAACAAAAACAAAAACAAACTAGGAATATGTATAACAAAAGATGTACAAGACTTCTACATTGAAAACTAAAAAAACATTTTTGAGAGAAACTAAAGAAGGTCTAAGTAAATGCAGGAGCCTTGGTGGCACAGTCGTTAAGAGCTCGGCTGCTAACCAAAAGGTTGGCAGTTTGAATCCACCACCTGCTCCTCGGAAATCTTATGCAGCAGTTCTACTATGTCCGACAGGGTCACTATGAGTCATAATTGACTCAACTGCAATGGATTTTGGCTTAAGTAAATGGAAGGGAGTCCCTGGGTGGTACAACTGGTTAATACACTCAGCTGTTAACTGAAAGACTGGAGGTTCGAGTCCACCTACAGGCACCTACTGGCAATCTACTTCTGAAAAAATCAGCCATTGAAAACCTCGTGGAGTACAGGTCTACTATTACACATATGCGGTCCCAGGAATTGGAATCAATTTGGTGGCAACTGGAAAGATATACCATGTTCATGGGTTGGGAGACACAGCAAGGATGTCAATTCTCCCAAAATTAATATCTAGTATGGACAACACACATTAGACTTGTCTGAGTTGCATTTAACAAATCTAAATGGCAAGATTCTGATTAGCTAGCTACTCTATGATGTCAGAGGGAAAAGAGCTTATTGCTAGGTTAAAATGGGCATTCCCAGAGTTTGTCAGTGAACAATGCATGAGTGCTTACCATGAATCAGATGTGAGCAATATGGGAGAGAAAGAAAACACCGTCAATAGAGGCTGATCACAGAAAGAAGCCGGGAGGTCCTCTGAACGCACAGGAGCTCAGGAAGGAATATGGAGTCCCTGAGTGGCAGAAATAGTTAAGGGCCTGGCTACTAACCAAAAGGCTGGCGATTAGAACCCACCAAGAGGTGCCTTGGAAGAAAGGCCTACCAATCTGCTTCCAAAAGGTCACAGCCTGAAAACCCTATGGAGCACAGATCTATTCTGAAACACATGGGGTCTCCATGGGTTGGCATCAACTCAACAGCAATTGGTTTCTTTTGAAGGTAGGAGGAAGCAACCAGCAACTAGAAGAGAGATGGACCTTCCCTCAACAAATAAGCTGCAGAAGAACATTCTCTAGCAATGAAGGAAAATCTCTGAAGTACCAACAAAATTACCTACATGAAAATAAGGAAAAGCCACATAGAACAACAACAAAAGAAAATGTAGTCCAACACAACTAGATGGTGCCCGGCTACCACCACCAACTGCTCTGACAGGGATCACCACACAGGGTCCTGGACAGAGCTGGAGAAAAATGTAGAAAAAAATTCTAACTCACAAAAAAACAACAGGCTTACTGGTCTGACAGAGACTGGAGAAACCATGAGAGTATGGCTCGTGGACACTTTTCTAGCTCAGTAATGAAGTCACTCCTAAGGTTCACCATTCAACCAAAGATTAGGTAGGCCCATAAAACAAAATGAGACTAAACAGGCACACCAGCCAAGGGGCAAGGATGAGACGGCAGGAGGGGACAGGAAAGCTGGTAACAGGGAACCCCAGGTCAAGAAGGGGAGAGTGTTGACATGTCGTGGGGTTGGCAACCAATGTCGCAAAACAATGTGTGTTAATTGTTCAATGAGAAACTAATATGCTCTGTAAACCTTCACCTAAAGTACAATTAAAAAAATGTAAACAATGAAAAACTAACAAGCAAATAAAGAATTGGGCAGAGGAAACAAAGTTCTAGAAGAAGAAATTTAAATGGCTGATAAGAATATGAGAAGATTCTTAATCTCACTAATAATTATAGAAATACAAAGTAAAACAATAAACATTTTATACACATCAGTACCAAATTTTAGATGGTGTGACAATAACAAATTTTGATGAAGCCATGGGAAAAAATTAAGATGGAAATATAAATTGGTATAATATGGTAGAGAAAAATTTGACTATATCTAACTAAACAAAGTATTCATATCCTACACCTCAGTAATACCACGTTTAGGCAGTATCTGTAAGAAAACATATAAAAATGTTCACTGTAGCAGTACCGGTAACAGGAAAAACAAGCCTAAGTGTCTACCAATGGAGGAAAGGATAAATAAAATGTGCTAAATTTATACAATGGAATACTACACAGTAATTAAAAGGGATAAAGTAGATCTGTATGTATAAATATAGACTGGCAAAACAATGCTGAATAAAAAGAGTACCAAGCAACTATAACAATGTTAAAAATCAAGTCTGAGTAATAAGAACACAAGTGTTTATTACTATATTACTCAGCTGTATTTTAAAGTTAAAAAAAAATGGATTTATGCAGAAAAATATGACTGGACTTGGTGAATGACTAGATGAAAAGGATGAATGAAGGTGAATTTATTTTAACAAACTTACTGAATGGCTACTATTTTTAAGAAATTATAACGGAACATACATACACACACACACACACACACACACACACACACACACACCACATACACTACTATAGTCCTTGACCTCAGAATGCTTATAATCTAGTTGATGAACTAATGTACATACACAAATTAGCATAATTAGCAGGAAGAAATAAATGTCATACATGGTAGGCATAGAACTTCTCCTAACGAAAGAAAAATTCTCAGAGAAAACTAATGCCCAAACAGAAAATGCAAAATTAACAGCTGAGGAACGAAAGTTTTATATGAAATTCCTAAAAACAACCAGGCATTCCATATTCTCATATAGTCCAAACACTATGTCAGCCTAACAAACAGTTAAACCAGATGCAGTTGAGTTAACTGCGAGTCATGGTGACTCCACGTGTGTCAGAGCAGAACTGTGCTCTATAAGGTTTTCAATAGCTGATTTTTAAGACGCAGATTGCCAGGCCTGTCTTCTGAGGTGCCTCTGAGTGGATTCAAACCTCTAACCTTTCAGTTAGCAGCTGAGCACATTATCACTTACAATAATATCTCATTCATGTTTCCTTTTTGCTCAGGTTGACGTAATTAAAACAAGGATGGGAATTCTTCTTCACAAAGGGCTGGAAATATTTCCATAGTATAAACATCTTGTAGTGTACCTCATAGATGTTTTGTCCCTGCTTTACCTGTGTATAAGCAACCACATTTAAAGAAACTGAAACAGGCAAAGGATTCTTACTTATCTAGTAATGCTATAACAGAAATACCACAAGTGGATGGCTTTAACAAAGAGAAGTTTATTCTCTCACAGTCCAGTAGCCTAGTAGTCTGAATTCAGGGAATCAGCTCCAGGGGAAGGCTTTCTCTGTCAGCTCTGGAGGAAGGTCCTTGTCATCAGTCTTCCCTTGATCTGGGAGCATCACCATCACTGCTTTCTTGGTGGAATTAGGTCCCCGTGTCTCTCTGCTCACTTTTCTCTTTTATATCTCAAAACAGACTGGCTTAAGACACTATCTAATCTTGTAGATCTCATCAATGTAACTGCCACTAATCCATCTTATTACATCATAGGATAGAATACACAATACATAGGGAAATCACATCAGATGACAAAAGGTAGACAATCATACAATACTGGGAATCATGACCTAGCCAAGCTGACAGATATTTTGGGGGGACACAATTCAATCCATGACAGATTCATTCACTCAAGGCTCTATTTTAAGTGGTGCTTGCAAGAGGGGCAGTGGGGCACACTGGATGTGTAAAAGATATTTTTCCTCTGGATAAGCCTACTACAAACTAGAAGACAGCATTTAATAACTATAATACAAAACTGAATGTGATAAAAGTGAGATAAGTATCAGAAAGGGTTATTCCACCCTACAATCTTGTGAGAAAAGTAGCCATCTTATTTAGTGATAAAATTGTAGCTTGAAAACGTTTCAGAGAAAGCAGGGGAGAAGGCATACTCAAAGTAGGCAGAAGAAGCAAGCAGCTGGCAGTTTTTGTTTGAAAGTAGAAGAGCACAGCAGGTGAAACTTGCGGGCTTCTCCTCACATCAACATCTGGAACCAACTAAAGAGGATATAAGCAGCCCTGGTGGCACAGTGGTTAAGGGCTCAGCTGCCAGCCGAAAAGTCGATGTTTCAAACCCACCAGCTGCTCCAAACCCACCAGCCCACTCCACAGGAGAAAGAAGTGGCAGTCTGTTTCAGTAAAGATTTACAGCCCTGGAAACCCTACAGGGCAGTTCTACTCTGTCCTATACGGTCACTATGAGTAGGCATTGACTCGACAGCAGTGAAGATATGGATGAATCCACGATTTATGGCAAGAAAATGTGTCCTCAAACACTAAATCAGCTCTACCTGCAGGGTTAGGGTGAGGTGGATTATTTTTTGGTTTACTGGTTTTAACCCTGGAGTTTTTCTTCACTTCTCAGAGAAAAAGAAAGGAACACAGCTGTTGGTTCCATTAAGATGCATACACCTTTCCCTCTTATCTACAATCAAAAAATGACACTGTACAACCAGACATTAACACAAAGGTGTAGCTAATCCTTAAAAAATATTTTATGGCTATTAATTATTAATTAGGAGCCCTGGTGGCACAGTGGTTAAGTGCTCGGCTGCTAAGCAAAAAGTCAGCAGTTCGAACTCACCAGCCGCTCCGCTGGAAAAAGCTGTGGCAGTCTGCTTCCTTAGGGATTTATAGCCTTGGAAACCCTATGGTGCAGTTCTACTCTGTCCTATAGGGTTGCTATGAGTCAGAATTGGCTCGACGGCAACAGGTTTGGTTTTTGTTTTAAGGCAGAGAAAAGGGTTTCTTGAACTGGGGCTATGAGGTGTGGG